GTCATAAACAGATTGCACACTTGTTCGATAGAGTTTACTCAACCCTTAAGACTAGATGAAATGACACTGATTACTCTGCAGTAACCAAAAGCGTAGATCATTCACTAAGCAGCATGCTAGCCACCTGCTGAAAACGAAGCTAGTGGAGTAGACCTAATGGTTTTAGGCAAAGCATCTAGACCATCACACATCAGCTGCTAGGGTAGTAATCGCATCCATGACCCGTCACAATGAGTAATAGCTGCAGAAAACAAATAATTTACTTTATTTTATGGAAACTTTTCAGCTGCATACAACTTATTGTAGTCAAATTCATAGAATCAATGCGCAATAAAGTCAGCCGTTGATCAACACCGATATGAAGTGCTGAAGTTTGAGGAGCTTCAAAGAAATCAGTAAGTAAATACAACTTCAGTACTTGTGTCTTCCTTAACAAAAGCTGTTAGGGATGCCTATATCCCTTATGTCCCATACTTACAGTTTGTATATATTTGAACTGGTTTATTCGCACTCTTTCTTGCGCATGAATTATATTTCGTATGTATGACCCGCTGTTGTTTTGATTGGCCTCTGCCTCTTTAAATGTACTAATTATTCCTTATCTTTCAGGGTTACTGTAAACTCTATAAATAGGGTCCGTTTTCACTCATAAAAGTTTTCAGTTCGAGATACTATAAACTTATCTGGTCTCTAGGGTGACATGGAGGAGATCGTGCGAGGAGGAAATGAGAGCTTCTGGGCTGTCGTGGAACCAGGTTCAAGATTTCAGAGAACAGAGGTCACTGGAGACGTGCTACTGAAGCCCTATGTTCCACTAGGAACCCAAGGGACTAATAATAATAATAATAATATCTGGTCTCCAGTCTTTTGATTTCTCTTCGCGAATCACTCGGGTTGAATTGTCTCAACCGGAGAGCATTGGACTACGGTTCCCTCCTAGTATGAGACTCTCTGGCACCATACATACACTACCCCCCTCCCGGGGAACAAACTCAGAACCTTCAGGTTGCACGGTAAACACGTTACCCACTTAGCCACCGGGTTAGAGTTCAATGGTCCACAGTTTCCTACTTCTGTCATTTTGCGATATAGTGCAACTATCCATCAAGGCCTTCAGTTGGCATCCACTTCACTTTCGACCGGTTGTCCCCACAAGTCACGGCTTTAGAATATTCATCCCGAAGCTTGTCACTAGTGAGTACTACATAGTAATGTAGTTTGAAAACAGAAATAGGAAACTGTCGTCGATTGAACTTCGATCCACTGGTTAAATGGCTAACTTGTCACCGTGAAACCTAAAGGTCCTGAGTTCGACCCGATATTAGGATGGGAAAGCTGTCCATCATCATCATGATCATTATCAACATAGGACCAGGCATTACTGCGTAACGGTCCAACTTGCCACACCTCATATCAGCACATCAAGTAAAAAGGTAGTGAGGTGAAGGATGAAGATAAGTGAATGCAGTCAAAAGAAATATAAAGTACGAGAAGAAAGGAAAGAGGAGTGACAAAATACTGAGATTCAGTGTAGCGTTGTTAAGATGAGGATAATGTGTGTATACATCTGCGCCACTGACTTCGGTTCTGAGCCATATCACCTGGGGTCTCCAACCACTGGTTCCTCTTGTCCCGTGGACCCCAACCACCTAGTCTGCATCGTCCTACATGGCTTAAACCAACAGTCAGAGACTTCATACATTGGTGCCATGTTTTAGTCTGGCCACCTCGGGCCTTTTTCCAGCCTGGACCCACCTCAGCCAACATTGTGTGACGAGGAAAGCTGTCCACTGCTCGCATGTTCTCAGTGGTTCCCCAATTGATGTCAACCCTTGAAAACAAAATCCCCATAGTCCACAAAACACTATTATTATTATTTATATAGAACACATACTCAGTGGGACGTGGGCTCCAAGAGATACGTCATACAAAATAATGAAACAACACTATAAAGACAGAACAGAAGGGAGAACGGAAATAAAAACAGAAATTGTTTATTAATGAGGCAATATCAAAAATACCTCTTGTAAAGCATTCATTACTTTCTTTTTAATTTTGTTGACAGAAGAAACAAAAATGCTGCATCATAATCGCCACTAATTTCGATCCTAAGTCATTTCCACAACCGTCTAAAGCCACTGAGTTGTACGACCTCTTGAATCTCATCCTGAGTCGTGAACCACCTACAGATACCGACTTAGCATAGCCATGGCTTTTTCTACAACGCCATGATGTGCACTGACCACCTCTCCACAACCAACCGCAGGGCAAGCGAACAGTAAGTGATGTGAAAGCTGCTAAGAAAACATTCGTAACACATATCCAAGCCACCAAAACCGATGTTCCAAGATAAATTCACTCGACGAATGACCATCTGCTTCACGTCCAAATACACGCTACCTCACCTCAAAATTATCCGCATGGTATTCACACCGGATGTGAGTAATCCTGCGAACGCAAAAGTGATCTAACACGCAGTTTTCAGACATCCTCAGATTGCAGAGACCAGATTTCCCAGACGTAGATCAGAACTACCCAAATTAATACGTTGCATACCCGACTTGTTACAGCAAGGTTAACGTCAAGGTCGTGCCAAAGGTGATCCAAAGTAGAGCATACCACTCTGGCTTTCAATATGCGTTTGGAAATCTTAGTCATTCCATCACCAGCATTCAAACAACTACTTGGCTAAACAAGATTTCCAACAACTTAAAACGGTTCACCAACGACTGAATACAAATAAAGGCTCCTGCCAATCTTGTGGAAGCACTTTTTACTTTTACGGCACAGAGCATATACCAAAAATATGGACATTCAGAACTAAATGGTTAAGTCTGATTTACGCAGCCTTTATGTTGTTGCACAGTAGAACGACATCATCTGCATACTCAAGATCAAAATGTCTTCCATTTGATAACAAGTCGACACCACTACAATGCACCTCCGTTAGGACCTCTGCAAGAAAGTCATCATTAGCAAAGTTAAAGAGAAATGGCGAGATCGAATAACCCCATTTAACCCTACTGCTACTTGGGAACAATGACGAGAAGTAGTTGTATGCCTTCATTCTACTTAGGTTGTATTTTCTTCTGTAGTCCCCAAGATGTCACAAAACATCTTAGGGACATCGATTTCTAGATGACAATTACAGAGCACAGTCTTGTTCAGTGAACCGAAAGCAGTCCTAATATTGAGAAATACAGCAACCAATAGGCTGCATTTTAACTGGAAGTTCTTGAGCATCTGATGGGCGGTGAACATGTGGTCAACACATCCACGACCTTTAGACGCTACCGATAAAAGACTGATGCCCCGATGATCACCATATACGTTAGGTAGACTCTTTAAAGACATTTACAAAAATGACGTAATTTGAAATTGATAGGACATTCTCATTCTGTCATATCCTCTCAAACAGTGTCAGCAATTACCTGACTACAGTCTCACCCTCTTCCTTAAAAATAGTCAGAGGTGAGTTATCTGGACCAGATACCTTATGGTACTTTAGAACATGGAGTTACTTACAGAACTCCGCTTCCTCAGGTGAACCAATGTTAACCGATCACGCATCAGAAGATAATAACTTTGGTGCAGTGAGTGCTTATCTATACTTTCCAGAGGTTCGATAGCTAACCTTGGATTTTCCTCAGTTGGGCATTTAACTACACTAATAGATGAAAACAACCTGCTTACACCCATTCGTTTAGCATGATGACTGATGACCAAAAAGAAGCGAGATGAACTCAGAACACGCTAAGATATGATCAGAATCCAGGCAGGTGGCCAAGAATACACCTCTGCCACCGGCAGGTGATTGCGATATGATCTATCCAAGCAATGTAAATCTAATGTCCGGAGATCAGGATCAGAAAGCCTAAATCGATGAAACTGTGGGGAAAAATGTAGTAGAAAAACGGAAGAAACATGAAGGAGGGTTGCGTAGTTAAATTATTTCGTTTCGGTTTGGGAATATGGGATAGGAGGACCGGGTAGGAGAGGTGATGGGTAGGAAAGCCGTTACGTTACTTCCGATTATTCAAAAAATATCTTTAAGGATAGATGGATGAAAAATCTATAGATGCTTGAGATAAGGTTTTAACAAATAATTCATCAACAGGTAATATTTTACAAATCGTTCTACAGATGTTAACGCAAGTAGTATCAAGGCTGGATGGAACTGACTGAAGGCCTATGTAAATCC